TTCTGGCATTTCAATTTTTTGTTTTCCTAAAGTAGAAATTCAACAAGCATAAATGAACTAGTACATAACTAGTATGAAGCTGACACATTGTGGTTGATTAACACTTCATATGATATCGTCATGAGAAAATGATTGAATGCGAACTAGTTATATTCTAGTTAACAGCCAGTATTTTTCCCCGCAGGGTAACTAAAGCATTCCGATTCAGCGGGTCCCTTATAATGGCGAATTGGCGGTGCAATTGTGTTTGCCGCTGCTTCAGAAAGTGTGGCAATACCTTTTTATACGAATTTTTTTTTTTGTATTTTCCGCAGTTATTCAGTCCTTGTAATGTAGTGACTTAGACGATGGATTTACTGATGATTGGTGGTAATTGGTGCTTGTTATTTTGTGCATTACTTGGTTTATGAGTGCGCATTTAAGAGCCCACACACAGGTGAACCACTGAAGTGCTGTGAATGTTTAAAACTGTAATTAAGTGGCTTTTAATTTTGTGATAGGAGATATGTAAGGGAATACTTCTGAGGGGCTGCATGTGTAAGCTGATAAGCAAGTAGTCTCTCATCGATAGATAGCAAAATTATATATTAGGATGTAACCTTAAAATTAGATTATAATAAACATGTATAGAACAAAATTAATTCAATTTCAATGGCAAGTTTAACGACGAAATAAAAATTTAAAAACGAAGTGTGAAATTAAAGTGAAAGAAATGAAACAAATTAAAAATGATCAAATAAAATAAGAGAAAAGGAAGCAACAAGCAAATGAAATAAAAATATGCATACATAAAATTAAAATAAGAATTTAATACAATATAAAATTATTTTTAAATAAAATAAAATAAAATTTATAATAAAATATAAATTAAGCTAAAAAGAAAATAAAAAAAATAAAAATAAAATAAAACAAAAAATAAAATATATTAAAACATAATACCGCAAAGTGAAATAAAATAAAATTATATTAAATGATTAAAACGATTTAGTAAAATTACTTCAAGTAAAAAGGATAGAACAATGAAATAAAAAATAAATATATCAACCAATTTAATGCAAATAAAGTAAAAGGGTGAAAAAAATAAAACTAAATGAAAGGAACTGAAATAATTGAAATAAATTCAAGTAAAATAAATAAAATTAAATGAAGTACAACACCAATTAATTAAATAAAATTCAAATAAATAAAATAAACTCACATTAAAAAAAATAACCAAAATACAATCAAATGAAATATAATAATAGAGATGAAAATAAATTGAAATATTATAATATATAATGAAAATTGTATTTAGCTAAAATAAACAATTTAACCATAAATAAATAAAATATTAAATTAAAATAAAATATAATAAAATAAATTAATTTACTTAATAAAAATCTTGAACTTGATTTTGATTAAGATACAAAAAAAATAAAATATAACAAATGAAATCAAATAAAAGAAAAAGGCGAAAAAAATAATATAAAAAAATAAAAAAATAAAAAATAATATTTTAAATAATAATAATAATAATAACAAACTAAAATATAATAAGATAAAATATAAATAAAATAAAATATTTTACAACTAAATAAGTTGCAGTTAATTAAAATAATTGAAATGAAACGAAATGAACTAAAGCAAAATTAAACAAAATATTGTAATATCTATAAATTAAATTAAAATAAAATAGAGGGAAAAATAGCTAAAATAATTAACAATTAAACAATTAAATATAACAAAATAAAATTAATGAATTAGATAAAAATAAAAAAAAAATATTTCAACACAAAATATGGCACAGTTAACTAAATCAAGATCAAAAAAACCCCAAAAGAAATCAAATAAAATAAAATAAGAAAATGATAAAAACTAATATTTAAAAAAATTAAATAAATTAAATATCAAATCATTAAAAAAAATAAAATAAATTTAAATATAATCAAATAAAATATGTTAATTAAATAAAAACTAAATAAAATACTTTACAACAAAATAAGATAAAGTTAATCAAAATAAATTAAATGACAAAAAAAATAGAAGAAAAAACTAAATAAATTAATATAAAATAAAGTAAAGTAAAATAGAAGAAAAAATCAAAGAAATAAATAACAATTAACTAATAATTTAATATAATAAAATAACAAAACAATAAAATGTAATAAAATAAAATTAATTAATTAAATAAAACTATATTAAAAAAAAAAATAAAGTAAAATAAAATAGAAGAAAACATAAATAACAAATATATAAATAATTAAATACAATAAAATAAAATAAATTAATTAAAAATAAATTAAATAAAATTTTTAATACAAAATATTATTTGATATGGCTAACTGAATCTAAATAAAATAAAACAAAATCAAATAAAATTATATATAATAATACAAAATAAAGTTAAATAAAACGGGAAATAAATTAAAATAAATGACAAATTCTCGAAAAATGTAAATTAAACTCAAATATAATAAAGTAAAACAAAATTATTTTATAAAAATTAAATGTAAAACTTTAAAACAAATATATAACAAATAAATTAAAGAAATATAAATAAAATAATATTAAATAAACTTAAGTAAAAAATAAATAGAAATAAATAAATAAAATAAAATAAAATAAAATAAAATAAGTTAATTATATAAAAATAAAACTTTTAAACTAAATAAGAAAAATCATAAAATAAAATAAAATTCTTATTTAAAAATAAAATATAAAACTTTCAAAATAAATAAGAACAAACAAGAATAAAATATATGACAAATTAATAAAAAAAAAATAAATTAAAATAAACTATAGTAAAATAAAATATAATATAATAAAATAACATCATTGGCTAAAAATAATATACAAAAGTCTAAAACAAACTAAGGCACAAAATTTAAATAAAACAATATAAAATAAAGTAGAAAATTAAGTAAAATGAATAAAGTAAATTATAATACATGAAAATAATAATAAAAAATTATAAAATAAAATAAAATGCAATTAAATAAAATCAATTCAAATCAGATAAATAAAATAAAACAAAATAAAATGAAATCAAAGAAAAGAATGAAAGTAAATATAATAATAAAAAAAAGTAAATAAAAAAAATAAAAAATAGAAAAAATAAAAAAAAATATTGAAGCAAAATAAAATTAAATTGAATTAAATTAGTAAAACGCAAATAAAATAAATAATTATAAAAAAAACATAATAATAAAATAATAAGTAATTAAGTTAACAAATTAAAAAAATAGAAAATAAAATAAGCAAGTAATTTAAAACAAGATTATACTAATAATAAAAAAAAAAAACAAATAAAATTTAAATTAAATTAATACAAAAAACTTTTGAAAACAAATTGGACATAGTAAATGAAACTAAACCAAATCAAATAAAACAAAAAGTGAAATATAACAATATTAAATAAAGTAAAATTAATAAAGAAAATTAAAATAAAAGAATATAGAAATAAAAAATTATAAAATAAACTAAAATGCATATAAACAAAATCAATTCAATTCAGATAAATAAAATAAAATAAAATAAAATGAAATCAAGGAAAAGAAAGAAAAAAGCTGAAAAATAAAAACAAAAATTGTTTACTTTTTATTTTTATTGTCAAATTTTTATTGAAATAAAAATAAAAAAAATTATATTAGAATAAAATAATAAAACCCAAATACAATAATATAATAATAATAACAAAATAAAAAGTAATATGTAAATAACTAAACAAAACAGAAAATAAAATAAAGTAAGCTAGAACAAAAAAATTGTAATTATAAAATAACGAATAAAGAAAAAAATTAAAAAAAAAAATATTTATTTAAATAAAATAATATGATTCTCCCAGCTGAATATAAATTGTTAAAAATTAAAAAAAAAAACGAATATTAAAGTACAATGAACATATCTAATTTCAGTAGTCTTATTAGCATTTAATATTTCCAGAAAATTTAAACGAAGTCAAAATCATTAGAGATCTAATAATAATAGACTTTTTAATTAATTTAATTTCATGAATAGCTAGGTAGGTATTCAGGGGTTTCCTCAAATTCGGCTTAACGCCAGCAGCTTTACAAACACACTTACAATATTATATATAAAATATAATACATACATATATTGTGTAGGTGATAAGACTCTTCAGTTATGTGCAAAATATATATATGTATGTATATAAGTACAGAAGTTCGCACTTTTTGAGCAAACATCCTTCGATATTTACGCAACTGTCTGATATTTTTATCTTCCACCAGTCATTACATACGTATATACATATATATATACACTGCTCATACATATGCACACTCCCCACTCAATGTACCGTAATTATAAAACAGCTTTTTCGCGAGTAAGCTGAGTAAATGTTTTACTTTTTAATTAAATTACTTTGCTTGCAAAAACTTTAGCCAGACTTCTTGCTATTTATTTTAACATTTCTCTACAATCTCCAACTGAATTCTGTCAACTGTCAGCAGTTGTAATGATCTTTTTATTGTTCACATTCGTAGTTTTTCACTGGGTTTTTTTTTTTTTTGTTTTGTCTTCGCTCGCAGTTTCGGAAAAGTTTCGTTACATTCTGTGTGTGTTTTGAGCTATTGAAAGGTTGAAAATTTCCGTCGTTGTTGTCATTTTCATTTTATTTAACGGTGACAATGATTATGTCGATTTAAATTCGCAATGAGTTTATAATGCTCTAAGTAAATAGGAAAAATAAGTAGGTATGTACGTGTATGTAACTGTCATTGTCAACGCTCATCCCTGTTCTTGTGCCTTTGGACCTTATTATACTGTTAGTTTCTATATTCGTATTGGTTTTTGTGTATTTTGCAAAAACTTTATATTACAATTTCTGCTTTTAAGGATACAAAGACACGCTTGAAAACACAAACTGACAGAAATTTGGTTCTTAAATTTTTTACAGACTGTACATACATACATATGCATATGTATACATAAGTAAGTATGTATATTGTAAGTCAACAGAGAACTGAAAATTTTCCATTTTATAATTCAAAGATACTCACCGTCGGGCAGCTCGTAGAGTTTTCGCGGCAACGGCGCAAAATAGGGATGTTGCAGCGCCTCTTCGGCACCAACTCTTTGTTCGGGATTCAATTGTAGAAAGGCATTCGCTATCGTTTCACCATCAACGATATCATAAAGTCTAGGAAAGTTGTGACCTAACTTGCGGGGTCGATAAAAACCTGTAGAGATAGAGCAAAGTAAAAGCGATTAATAAACATTCTTATAGATCCTTATAGTAAAAACTTTTGGAATTTGCAAAATCCAGTTCGGTTTATAGTGAATGAATTTGGTGTAGCCCAAAGCAGAGGTCGCTCTCTAGACAAAGATTGAGTAAGAGCCAAGTAAAAACAACCAATGTCGCTGCTTTAGCGACTTTCTTAACCCTCCTAAAAACAGGCGAGGTAGCAGAGGTCATCTAACGAAAGACTCAGGAAACGAGCTGTTTCGCAAGATTCGCACCAGTCGGAGAAAGGCTTTAGATGAGTAGATTTGAGTAAGCATGCAAAGTGCATCAAGTTGGTAAGAGTTGAGTCTGGTACAACGTGAGTACCTACCGTCGATGGCCTAACCTCACGGTGTTCAAAAACACAACGGATCAACAGTGTTGATCAGCATCCCATAGGGAGAGTATTACTAAAGATAATACTAAAATTATGTTTCCAATCGGCTGTGTGATATGGACACACTGAACCCCCTGGTTAGGCTTGAGGCTCATCTAAAACATCTGCCGTGATATAGGTCCGATACCCGGTAGCAATGCTACTCCACACCGATTTGGCCAGCTCCACTCCACACCAACTCTTCCCGAATTTGGCTTTAAACCACAGCCAACACGATACTCCCCGAAGGGCCTTGCCACAATGAACAGCTCGGAGCAAGTTCCGAGGGTTCCTGTTCCCCGTGGTACCAGGTTTAAAGTCTCCGGCCAGAGCTTGTAACTGGAGTTACTAGCAATTGGGCTTCCATATGGCCCTGAATTGGTAGTCAGGATATTAGTCGCCTTTTATGACACGCATGCCTTGCCGCGGGTGTATTCTCTTCCCGGACCCTCACGAGGTTGAGTCTGGTTTAGTATCCAGACCTTAATTGTGCTGTTGTCTCTCTAGGGACAGGTTCAAAATCAATCTAAGACACCGAGGTTATCAAACGGGAGGTCCAGGAAACGTGCTATTTCGACAAGATCGAACCATAAGGAGAGAAGGATTAGATGTGTCGGCTTAAGGGGGCATGTGAATCGTGCCTAGATTTTCCACATGCTGGGCATACGTTGGATATGTTGGAGACGAATCTAGTAGGTAGGAGTTTAACCTGCCACAATATTCAGATCTAAGATGTGCCAAACTGTTGCCCTAAATGGGGTTAGGCCGCCGAAACGGTGACAGCCCTTGGTCGGATAAAATTCGAGTCAACTTCGATGCGTAGAATCGGCTATCTTGAGAGTTGCAGCGAGGTAGCTCAATGGTGTGGATTGAATACCACAGCGCAGTGTTGCTTCTTCATCTGTGGCTCTCCCTAGTCCACGCTGTCCTCCTCAGGCTTTTCTACGCCTTTATAGACTAATTATATCTAAATTTTAAAACCCAGATTAGGCAATCACTGTAAGAAAAATCTCCTCTCCTCACCTTTTGACGTCACAAAGTTTCCAGGTGGACTCCATGCAACTACTGTAAGCTAAATATATTCGCAATCCTATCATCTCATCAAGACAAGGTCTAAAGAGTTTTCAAATGACGCACTTATTAGTATCATATACACAGCTTTTCCTACACAGACCACACCTCTCATGTGAATCAGCTATTTTACAAAGTAAAACAATTACATTTCAACAACTTTTTTACCTTAGAACTGTCGTAGAATTTATTTTAGTTTCATTTTAGTCATTAACTTACCTAACTTATGCGGTTTATAACCAGGAAAATGTGTAACACCCGGCCACGTCTCTTCAGTGGGTGTGCCAAGCAATTTAAATATCTTATCCAGTTGATCATATGTATCACGTATGCCGGGGAATGTTGGCATGCCAGTTACCATTTCCACAAATATACAGCCGACACCCCACATGTCCAGTGATGTCGAGTATTCTGTGCTACCGAGCAGAACATCTGTGGAAGAGAGATGGCAGGAAGGAAGGAAGAAGGTGATGTATGAGTAAGTATAATATAATATATATGCTTGTGCATATGTACATTTAGAGTTTTATATAGAATGTATTAACTGGAAAAAGTTGTAATGACTTTTATATGTGGTAATAGTGCTTACGAGAGAGTTACATTTCAAACTCTCTAAGCTGCCCATTTCAAGATTAAAAATTAAAAAACACAATTTAACAAACGCATATGTACAATGCATATAGATATGTATGTACGTGCGCATATTTAATGGAAATTTCTCTAACCATAGCTGCCTTATGTAGGCAACACAATGTATGCGAGTTTATTATAATATTTAAATGAAGGTATACGAGGGGATTAACAAAAGTCTGGTCAGTTGGTTACTTTCAATTTGTTTTTGTTAAATCTAAAAATACCAATTACTTTGCAATTATCTTAATAGTCTACCTTTAAATTTTAGAACGATCCACTGAAATGGAGGCGACAAAACGCAAGATAGCTGAGAATAGCTCAGACGAAATTCCACCACCAACGCAAACAGAAATTCGTCAAGTGATTCTCTTCGGGTTTCGGCGTAGTTTACAGCCAATAGAAATATTCAGTGAAAGTCAAATTGCATATGGAACGATTGCACTGTTTGTAAAGACTATTTCTAAGTGGTTCCGAAGATTCCACACCAGACGATTTCCCGTACAAGACGAACTCTGCGAAGGTCGATCTAAGTCTTCCACTGATGACATCACAGTAGTTCTGATAAAGTCCAAAATTGATAAGAAATGATTGTTAATGAATTGGGCTTGAATGCCATGGCTGTATCACGAATATTAAGTCATCATCTGGGATAGACGAAGAAATCTGCTCGATGTGTACCACCAATTTCAAATGAAGCCCAAAAAGCGGTTCGAGTGCATTTTGTACAATTTTCCCTAAGCAAATTCGAAAATGATCAGTTTAGCAACCTTAGTAAAATCGTTACTATTGACGAATCTTGGTTCCATGAGTACGATTCAAAAACCAGACAGCAGTACATGGTATTGAACCCAATAGGAGCAAACCCATCCGTAAAATTTGAGCAACAAAAATAGTCCAACAGTGTCACATAACACCGTCCTGCTGAAATTATAGTCACTTCAACATTTGGAAACAAATAAACTCTGTGCATGTTCTGGGTTTTCGATGAAAAACACACCAATGTTACACCCGGTACGCTTTCGTGCCAAACAGATGCTCGTTAAGGAAGCAGCGCCTTTTCCATGGTTAAGTATGGGCTTTCTGAGTTTCATCAGAAAAGACGATTTTTCGAAAAAAAAACTGCTCATCTTGTGCCAAGTGATCTTCCGTTCATTGTAAGAAGTGAAATCGAAAAAAAATTACTGAGGCTTCAGATCATTGACCAATACACTTTATAAGTCCTCGAAAGGAGATATATATCGTTTAAAAAGTGCACTTTTACAACTTTCACGTATACACTTGCGCGGTGGAAAGTCTGAGCTTCTAAACTGGCGGTAGTAGTTGGTGGCACTTTAGCATGTCAGCAGAGAAACCCCACAAGGTGGGTAAAAAAAAAGTGGAAAATGACGTTGGATTAGGCATGAACCCACAGAAGAAGAAGCTTGTTTACCGCACTACAATATATTATATTACGCTGCAAATTTACACTTTAGACTTAAATTTCCTTACCGATCCATGGTCTGGTGGTCAAAACTACTGTGTATTAGTGGAACATTGTGGACCACACCTACTTGAGTTGTGTCCTCGTGAATCTACTGTTCACCAGAATTAAAGTGATGACCAAATATGTAGAAACTCAAACACCACAAAGTATTTATTCATTCAAGAAGATTCCATTTACCAGAAAGGGCGAACTACTGCATTACCTTTACGGACTTCACGAAGAGCTACAAGGTGGTTATTCCGAATAGGAATCAATGGGGCAAAATAGTAGTTCCAACATATGCGGACTCAGTACATTTTTTGTAAATACAAATGAATCAAACAGGGTCAATGGTGAAGTCTAATGTACTTAAAGGAGCTCGAGACCAAAAGGTCCTTACGCCCGCCGTCTCACTGTAAGTTGTACTAATAGCCTTGAAATATGTAAGAAAAAAAAAATCCCAAATGGTGGAGTGCTTCCACAGATCATTTACCGTGATAGCTAGGCAGTTCGAGTTTTCAAGCAAAGGCAATTTCTTTCCACTTTCACCATCATGAAGAGTTTGTGTAACCCGCTCTCCAATTGTAAGCTCACTATAAGAGATTTGTTCATTGCAGATGTTAACTTCAGATTAAGAAGGTTCAATTTTTGAAATGTGCCCGGAATAATATAGCCAGCATGGAATAGAAGAAGGTCAAATAAGATTATTTTGCTAAGAAAAAAGGCGGTATTCACAATCACGTATCTTCTTACGGCATATCATCCACTAGTCAGGTACGCCGAAGGGCTGGACTGATCACCAACTCATCGAGCGCACCAAATGCACCAATTGTTATACCTCTGAGGAAGCTATTAGCATACTTCCAGTGGTCAAACCACAAGCAAAGAAAAGCGTATCTTTACAGCCAATAATTCACGCAAGTTTCTAAAGCCCCTTCAAGCTGACTTCAACGTACTCATTCCTCCCCCCTCCCAATCGCGTGACATATGCCTCTTTCTACCTCCTTCGTACATCTCCTGCAGAAGTCAGTTTGATAATTGCTGTGAAGTTTTTTTCTACTTAAATATTTAAGAACACAATTTAAACAACAGACTCTTGAAATGAGAGAAAAGATTTTCTAAAGCAAGGAAAAAAGATTGATGAAAATTCCTTCTTTATTATTTTGCTTTACCATTGGACTGGAAAAAGCATGATTGGAAATTTAAGGAAACTCCATATTTCCGGCTAGACTGCCGAAGAGGAAGTGGCCTCAGCAACTCCATCGAAAAACTGACCATAGACACATAACCAGCAAGTTTTTACACACTAACACATGTCCACAGCAAATTGGACTACAGTTTTCAAATTTAGTTTGCATGTCTATGCTATATAAAAAGCAAAATAAAAACAACAAAAAAAACATTATGTCTATTCGGAAAGTAAATTAAGGCGGACAGGATATTGATTTGGGAGTTGCAAAGCCGATTGATGACGACGGAGCATCAAATGGCTTGAGACAGCCGGTCAATAACAACTTTTTGACCTGATACTTATATACAAAAATAAAAAATAAAAATAAAAAGAAAACAAAGAAAAAAAGTACCCTTAACAGAAAAAGAAAAGAAGTATTCGCATTGCGGCAGCCGCAAAACCCAAAGGTAGCAAAATGAATTTATGGGCGCAAAGCAATGACTAAGCCGCATTAGGAGAGCGAAGAGATTGGATAATCAAATAGAAAATTGAAAATTCGAAAATTCGCAAATTCCAAAGTTCACAGTAAACTGAATACTGAATACTATAATGCTTTATTTGACCACATAATAGATTTTTTGTTGTTGTTGTACATCTCTAGGCAACTCATCATCTTTTCTTTTAAGCCTTAATGAGCGTAAATTGTTTGCAGCTGAAGGCGATTACATTTTACACTCTCTGCTGTTTGTTTTAAAGGGAAAAAAATTAAAAAATCGGATTTTCTATTTGGAATAATTTATTGGTAATTTTGTATAAAAGAGCGAAGGAAAGATTGAAAAAATATGACAAGGATTGAAATGTTTTTATTACTGCTTCTCAAAGTGTAAAACTTTGCTCATTTAATTATTTATAAAATAATTTTGCACATAAAGCAACTTAACTGTAGAGGAATCTGAACATCTTGAATACATATATACGAGGGCATTAACAAAAGTTCGGTAAGTTGGACTCGCTTCGCGTCTTGATGTTGCTCCAACAAATGATGGGACCTACAGTTTATACTAAGCCGCCTCAGAACGGCTGATAGATTTTTTATGAGGAGTCTTTATTTCATATCAGAAATTCACTCGGAGGGGTTTGACATTCCCCCCCGAGGGTCGACCGGAATTAGATAATTTAACTAAATTTTTATTTAAATTAATTTCCTATAACTTTTGGATGTTGATCGCACGGGGATATGAACCCGATCCTGTAGTATGCAATTCCAACCACTCGGGTCTCTCGTTTCTTTTTAAATTTCTTTTAGTTTTAGGAAAGAACCAGAGTGAAGTAAACTGACATCAATTCTTTTGCTGCTGATTTTTGTTGCTTAGACTTGACGGGTGGGTTTGCTCCTGTTGGGCTCCATACCATGGACTGCTGTTTGATTTCTGGATCTTACTTATAAAACCAAGATTTCGAGAAGATTTCTTTGTGTATCCCAGTTTATTACTTAATATATCCCTTTCATTAGCAATCATTTCTTGTGTCAGTCGTGGGTCTTCATCAATTTCGGACTTCATCAGATCTACAGTGACGTCATAAGTGGTAGATTTTGGTAGACCTTCTCGGGGCTCGTTCTCTACGGTAAAATATCCAGTCTGGAGTCTTCGGAACCACTTAAAAATAGTCTTTAAAGACGATGCAATCATTATATACCCGTAGTATATTTGTATTGGCTATAAATTACGCCGATTTCAATAGTTATAGAGAAGTCCCTGCATACCTTCTTCAAAACCATGGAAATAAGTCGGAGTGATCTAGGTAAGCTGCTGGATTCAATACATTTATGAATGAGATGAGTATAACACGCAGTAGCTGGGTGACAAAACCCTGCCAGCGTAGATGAGTATCACCAACAAGTGTAACTCACCTGGGGTATTTTCGCTTCAGCGTCAATTATATATATAACTACTTCCCATCCAGGCATGACCTCAACAAGCACAACGTAAGTCCTGCATGCAATGAGTCCCCCTTGAGCGACACTAACCAACTCTCTGCTTGCGCTCTAAAACTAACTCATCTGACACTTCTCTTATTCGGGTACGAACCTCTCTGTCACCTGAACCTCTGTTTAGTGGTCAGCTAAGGCATTGACCAGAACTAAGTCCCATAAGTGCTACCTGC